GACAGATCTATTTGAAAAATTGTTTCTTTTCTTTGTTTGATTTACAGAGGTAGCCTTAAGCCTAAATTAACCTTTAGTAGTCGTAAACGTAAACGAAAACTTCCCTCAGAAATATACACAATATTTTGTTGATTGTATTTCAACTTGAGTAAAACTGCAATGCAAAAAATATTTTTTCATCAGTTTTTTTATTTCAACTTCAACGCAACGACTAAAAATACCATTTTCGAAGTCACACGGGACAGCTAGATTCGTGTCGAAACAAAGCCGTTTAGCTGCAAATGCATAGCTACATATTTTCATTTGAAACTTTATACAATTAGAAATCATTAAGAGATCAATAGTCAATACATAATGATATCTTCATGGGAATTTTTTAATAGAAATTGCAAAAAAGTCTAATGAAAATTATTGAATATTTATATGATTTTACTGCTCATTTTACTATATAAATACCATTCTATAGCCGCAATTACTATTTATAGCTTATAAATCATTGTTGCCCATCACTTTTTCGAAATAAAACAAGCTCAGTAGGTTGCAATTGTTTCGATTAAATGCATATAAAATGCTAAACTGCTGATGAATTTATGCACTGAGTGCAATTAGAGTAAAACAGCTATTATTTAGCACAGTGAATGCATATGTGTGTAGTTGCAACCGAATTGTGCAACATATGGTGGCATGTGGCAATCGAAAGTGGGTCAAAGAAATTGCCATTGATAAACAACAAACAACAGTTGAAGACGAATTGCTGGAGTTGGCAATTAAATAACATACAAAAAAAAAAAAAAACAAAAAACAAAAAACAATTTGTGTATAGACGTTGCAAGCAAAGCAATTTGAAACTGCTAAAAAAAAGAAACAACCGAAAAACAAACTAGACAACAGTAAAAAACGCCAGCAAGAAGAAGAAGAAGATGCATTCACAAAAAAGCTTAATTGTTTCACAGTAAGTCAATGCAATTGAATTTTAATTACAGACTGCAATTATTCGGTGTGCGGATGAGTTGCTGTTTTGTAAGAGATGAACCGCAAGTTAACTGCGCTGCTGAAATTCACTGTTAATAGCTGAGCGTATGCGTTATTCTCTTGCAATTATCGATTGTGTATGCAATTTAAACATCTTAATAATCGTTGATTAACTAAAATTGAACTAAATTACTGGTATTTTCTTCATGAGTTTCCTAATTATACAATTTGAATGCCTCAGAAGCATCTGGCAACATTTATTTCAGGTTTATCTTATCCAAAAATTTTGTTTCACTAAAAAAATCGTTCTTATATGCAAAATATTAAATTTTGAACTTCCTTTAACAACAATTAAAAATTTACAATTTGAAAGATTTCAAAAAAATAGAAAAAGTTTGCTGGCTTGTGGTCTGAATATTAGTAATGTTTTACCCGATATATTTTGATTACACATCGATAGACGTCTTCAGGGGGCAATTTATTACTATGCGCCCTAACCCAGTGACGTGTAGTTTTGTACTGTTTTCAAAAAAAAATTTTCTTTAATATAAGTACATAAATATTTTTTTTTTTTTGGAATTACAAAAAATTTTGTATTATACTTAAAATTACGATTTACTAGCATACCCGGCCAAAGATTATTGTGGCTTTCCGGATTTCGTACGATTTGAAGTAAAAATATTTTTTCGAAGAGAACTATAGTCTTCCTGCTGGTATAAGCAAAAAACCACCCATTTTAAACGAACTATACAATTGACTTTTTTCAAATGAATCAGTCACTGGTTCACAAATATTACAAAATCAAAATTAGACAAATCGGTCTAATCATTCTCGAGTTATATGCGTACGTAAACTTCCTCGGTTCATTTTGATGCAATGAGATCTTCAATTTAACATGGTATATACTCGTAGAAAACAAAATCGTAGCAGTATCACTACATATATTCTTTCATCATTAGTTTTCATATATTTATTTTCAATACTATTTCAACTTTCAATTATCGTTGTTATTGCTGTCCACCACAATATCATTCAGAAATTTTCGATATTGCATCTCATGCAATCACTCACTTGTCTCTGGTTACTATGCACTCGTCTTCCTCATGGCCTATGCTTTATCAACTTCTTCCGTTTTCTACTGCCTGCGTCTTGCTGTTAATTGCTTGACTCATAAGTCGCAGCTCACTGCTGTCAGTCGGCCAGCTGGCCGGCCGGTAGTAATAGAAAAACAAAATGTTATTGTTACTTATATTTAATTTTCCGCGCACGTTTTCAACTTCTTGGCCTTTTCCATGTAATTTCCATATTTTGCTGATTCATTTCCTTTTTCTCTTGTCTTCCTCTCTTCTCATTCCTTCGTTTCCTCCGTCCATTCATTGAAATTTCTTAAATTGTACTTTTTATTGAAATTTGATTGAGTGCATGTGAGGCTCAGCAATGGAAAATGGAAAAGAAAAAACTGAATTAAGAAGATTTTAATTTGATTTTTTCCAAAGCAAAGCCAAATGAAAGAAATATTTCGATTTTTTCATTTATTCTATTCCCATTCTGCTATTTATTCTAATCAAGTTGTATTAGCTGTTTTAAGATCAGTCCCAAAATTCATAATCGATACTTGATCGAGAACATTCTTTGATCTGCTAACCTCCAATAAATATTTTTCTTTTTTTTACCTTTCTATAAAGCGGAAAAAAAATTCACTTGTCTTTATATATCAGTTCAAAAATTAGTTCCTTATCTCTCCACTTATCAGCTAACATAATTTGTCAAATTTCTTGCTTTAAGCTTTTTTCACGCGCGTTTGTGCCTCACAGTCTTAAACTGATTTTCCATATGTCAATTTTTCGCAATTCACATTTTATTTCTACTTAATAACGGCAAATCTTCACATATATAACCGTTACTCATTAAAAAATTTACAAATTTCTTGTGTTGAAAACCACTAAAAAATCAACGCCGCTAGAGAACGCCAGCAATGCACTTGAAAATGAGCAACACGGTATGTTTGGTTATCGTTTGTGCAAGTATGCCAGTATATATGTATGCATTCCTATATGTGCGTAAAGTTGTAAGGAAAGTGTCCGCCCGCTGCCACAGCCACGTCCAAACATTTATTGCCGCCCTCTCTGTGGTTGCTGCCTCGCAGGCATTTGGCGCGTGTGTGGCCTGGTGAGGCATGTATGTTTTCGCTCAAGCCTCCATGTCCATATACAAGTGTGCATAAGTGTGTTTATAAATTTGGACATGCGTTCGGGCGCTCATCAAAGTTTCGGTTGCCCATTATTAATTCCTTTGGTCAACCTTGGCAGTCTGCCAGCTACCGCTTTCTTAGGCGCTTGCACACGCCACAAACATACACGTACATAAAAACATTCTTCTTCTTGCAACAGCTTGCGGCAACTTTTCACTCTCCGCTCTTTGTCTTGGTAATAAATTGAATTATTTATTAAGAACAATTTCAGGCTTCCTGCGAGTCTGCCGCAAACACCATGCCACAGCATACACACATACTTATGTGATATGATTTTTGGCCGAAGCTTGTTTGACGATTTATCTTTAGTTTAATTTTTTCAACATTGCTGCAATCACTGCCGTTGCATCTTTCACCACAAACTGCCTTCCCGTTTTTTGAGTTGGGTGGTGAACCCTTTTCAAATTGCTTACATGTAATAAAGTAATTAAATCCTGACAAAGAAATTTGTTTTGCTGCAAGATTGATTGCGTGCGCGGCCAGTTTTGGGATATCAAATTTATTTTGAGTTATTTTAAAGATTTTTCCGAAATGATTAATCTCGTTGATCTTTTAATTTTGTGCAGTTACTGAAAGGCAATTATGTAGCATGCGAATGCTAAGCTCCAAGTCTAAAGCATAGGTTTTAAGAAGACCGTGCTTTGGCATTGTTCTGGATAGTCAAATATTGAAAGAAACAAAGCTGACAGTAGACAAAAATTTTTTCTCAGTTTTTTCTCTTACTTTAAAGCCGCCTAACTATAATTTTATAAATTGATTGGGCGCGGATAATCATTAAAAATTTAATAATTTTTTATTATTTCGAAACGGGGAATTTCGCACGTTGTTATATAATATTTTATATCAGTACTTAATTAAAGTATTGGGAACCTTGATAAGTACGAGCACCTTTTCAAGAGATAGCCACTTGAGTTAATTAAACTTAAGTTAATTAAATGAGTTGATGCTCGAACTGTTTTTACAATTGTAATTCGTAGTAAGTATTAGAGTTGCCATCACTTTTCTAAATATAAGCTCCAAACAACAAAAAGTTCAAGAAGCTCGTGACCGCTGAAGATATATGAAAAAAATAAAAGTTGAAAAAAAATTTAAGGGCTGGAGAAATTTACACGTGCCAGATTTTACGTAAAGAGTGAAATTATCATATTCTAATGAAACTTAGACTAGAATTGTATAAGCAAATATGCCGACCTCATTACTTCATATTTACACATTTTAGTAATTATATATACAATCAGAGCTTTAGAACCGCGAAAGCGTCTTTCGGCCGAGCTCGTTTTTCAATTTTTTGCATGTGTTTTAATGTTTTTCCACCGAATGGATGGGCTACAATCGCCTTAGAATGGCTGACGGATTTTTATGAGGAGTTTTGTCATGTCAGAAATATACTCAGACATTCTTGAGGGGCGACCGCCACTATAACAATTACTTTTCAACATTTCCGTTTTTGGACTGGCCAAGATTCGAGCCCATGATATTCAACATTGTAGAACGCACAGCTAACCTTTCGACTAACACTGTCTACTTTGGATAATTTCGATAACAAATGTGTCTAATACTTTCGCCATTAATTAATATTATCTCATTACGTCCGGAAGCCTTAAACTTGCCCTGCATTTATTACTAAAATAAACAATTTCTAATTTGCAAACACTTCAAACTAGAAAAAAACGCTTACATTTTCGAATACCTACAATTAAATAAGAGCAAAAAAAATGGAGATATTTGCTTGTAATTAACTCAATTGATAAGCGTTCAAGAGAAATAGAGTATAAAACCCATCACCGCGTTCTAAAACGCTACAGTTTGAGCGTGAAATTCCAACAAAAATGTACAGCAAAGTACTTGCAGCATTGCTCATTGGAGCGGTATTGTTACAACAGACAACGGCGGCCAGCGCACCAGCACCACAAGCGTCACAAGCAACGGAGGAACAGGATACACCCGAAGCTTTGGCAGCACTCGAAGCACGCTTAGCTGAGAATGACGAGATCGACGAGCGCGCTGTGAATTTTCTCAATGTGAAAAACTGGAATGAGAAGACTATCGATAATAAGTATGACCCGGACGATTTACCCGCCTTGGCCTACGCTCTGGATCAAATATACACTGGCAACGCGGCCTCCTTCAAAAAGATGGTACGTCTGCAATTGTATTTGTATCAGAAGTTCGAGGACGAAGGCGATGATAATGACAAATACACTTTCAATGTGGCTTACTATTTTTTGAAAATGAAAAAAGACAAGCAATATTCAAACCTCTCCAGCGATCTGAAAAGCAAACTCAATGAATATATCAGTTATTTGCCCCCGTCACTGGACTTCTTCTTCTTCCAGCCGTCATTCTGTCTGCTGAATCGCAAATATTTGCAGTATGTGTACGCGACCGAAACGCCCATTGACAGTCAACGTGATCACATTTTTGTCTTTAAATCCAACAACATTAATGCTAATCAAAGGCCTTGGATGACAAAGGTGAGCGATGTGTCCACCAATCGTCAGACGAAATTGAAGATCACTCTGAAGCAAAATAAATCCAAGCGTGTGGCGTATTTGGAACGTGGTAACTATGGTGGTAAGAAGAATTTGGTGGCAGCCTGGCACTCGAGTTTCCAGGAACCCGACAACTACGAATGGAATGTCTCACTCTATCAAAATCAGCTGATCTTTAGCCAAAATGGACGTGTGATTTGTGCCAGCGGGTCCACTTATGATCAGAACCGACGTTACGTGCAAGGTGTTGCCGGCAATGGTTTGAATGCACCGGAATGCCAATGGTATGCCAAGCGGTGTCCGTGAGCCTGAGCGGGAAAGTGTTTAGAAGAGAGATTGAGAAACAAAAAGAGAGAAAGAGAGATAGAGAGGGAGAGAGAGAGAGAGTGAGAGGGATGGAGAGGTGGAGTGAAAGAAAAAAGGAAAAAGTATTGCGCAAAGCCAAACATCGAAGATTGTATTTTAAACGAAAAATAAAATAAAATTGTGGAAAAATTGAATTTGCAAAAACAAAGCGAAAATAATGATTTAAAGACGTCCAAACATATTGCCTGAGAAAAATCGTAAAATCCATTAGTGTAAAATTATTTACAATCAAAACTACTAAGCACTTCGTATACCAAAAGTTAATTGCCTATCGGTTAATGGTTTACCAAAGGAATTACAAAAAAAAATTATTAGAAAATTTCAAACATTTGAAAATTGAAAAAAAAGTAATTTATAGATTTCTCTTCATTAAGAATGCTAGCTTCTCGCTGTAATGGTCATCGATTGCGAAGTCTGCGAACTGTCCCGCGAAAAACGAGACTACTCAAAAAATATTATTACTTCTTCATCTTCATTCAGAGATACATAAGTATATCCACATGTGTTTCCACTTTCGCTTCTTCACATCTAATCGAATTTATTTAATCAGTTTTCTTATGTTAAATCAGCAGCGTTACGTTAATTAAAGCTCGCGATCAATAGAGGCTACGTGGGCAAGCAAACCAGCGACCGGACAAGAAGTCGCAGCGACTATCCGCTGGCCCGCGCTATTATTTTGACAGCTGTTGTCATTCTTTTCCCCCGCTATTCACGCGTCGCTGCGCTTTTGATTGATCATTTTAAGCTGCAATTCAATTTGTTTTTCATTAAGTTGCACAGTTCCTCACCTCAATTCGTGCCGCCACTTTGTATGCATGTAAACCTGTGTATAAGAAATTTCTAAGAAATAAAATTTCATTTTTTTTTTTATTTTTTTTTTTTCATTTCCACCGTCAGCACTCATTTGTTTGCAATGTTATTTTTAATTTCACTGCTCTCTTGTAAAAATTGGCACGCTCATCAGACATATATACAAATATACATTTGTACAAAATCTTTGAGAATAATTTCGCATTTGACCTACTGGTACTATTCGCGCAAGTAGCCGTAAGCACTTACCAAGTTTACTAACTCACCGGAGCCTGTTGTTGGCCAACTTTATTTACGCGCTTGCTGAATGAGTTCGCGTTCGCATTTATTCTTAATTTGATTCAATAATTCTCTCGTGTAATCAAAACGTTTCTTTTTTCCGTTTTTTTTTTCTTTCCTTTTTCGTTTATTTGTAAACCTGCTGTCCATTTGTCTGACTTACTCCAGCAGAGAATTCTTGTTATTGTTTTTTGTGGCATTATTATTGCTGGTTAATTGTTACTGTTTTTTGTTTTTGTGGCGAGTCGAGTTAATTATGCTTAGAAATGTTTGTAATTGTCTTCTATTCTTTTTGTAAATTTTTTTCTACTTTCGCAATTTTCTTTCTAAAAGTAATGTTCCTGTTCTACCGCCTCTCTTTCACCATTTTAATAGATGTTTTCTACTTTTAGTTATGCTTATATTATTTTTTATTTACCGGTTGCGTAGCAAGTTTCTATATTTTTTTTTTGCCCAAATTTTTTTTATTTTTTTACTTTTACATTCCCCACTTTTTCAATTGTTTTCTTGACTTCCGTGCTAAGCCGCTTTTGAGCAATTAGCTTCGAAGTGAGTGCGTGCGTTCCTTGACTTTTTTTTTTACAAAATATAACATATAAATAAAAATTGCCCATTTATTTACTTTTTAGTACTATTTCTCCTTACTAAATTCCCTCCCCTCTTAAGGGTGAGTGCAAAAATGTTTCCAGCTCAAAACGCCAATTTAGTTGAGAAATAATTTATTTAAGTCTCTAAAAGGCATACAAGTGGTAAATTAATTATTTGTGGCGAAAGCGAATTGGAAGCGCAGAAACTGAAAAAAAAAAACTGAAAATAGTAGAAAAAAATACAATTATAGCATGCAACCCTGGCTGGAGTGTGGGAAACATGTATGGAGAGTCAGTCAATCACATATTTAATTTTTGAAATTTTTCATTTCGCTTTTTCACTCCTCAAGTTCGATTGTGCACGAAATGTGGCGATAGAAATCTATTAAAAATTCACAAACAAGGTTCACATAAATAAACATTAAATAGCTTAAGCCTTAAGTGCCATTGACATTGAAAGTGGTAGCATGCAGTGATAATCGTGTTTTTACTGTTATTAATTTACTCATACAGACACATTTATGTGTTTCTATACATTATTTGCTTAGTTTATTGTCACTTGCGTTAATTTCTGTAATGGCAGGTAGTGCTTCCATATGATTAATTGCTGAGTTAAAGAAGCTTTCACTTTGAAAGAGCTTTCATTCTTTTCATAGGAATTTTTAAAATTTAACTGAAATGTAACGCATGTGAAACTTCTTCGAGTAAGCTTTCATGTCAATTTAAATAAGCTTTTGTATGGTAATGCAATAAATGGCTTTTATATAAACGAGTAAGCCCTTTCAATCAATCTAAAGCCCAGAGAGCTTATGACTTTTCAGATTAAATAAGCTTTCACTCAAAATGTCGTTATGACCAGCATTCTGAGTGAAAGCATTTTGAATTACTTTTGCTCCGTGCTTGCTCTTATAAAAATGGTTTGCAATAAAAAAAATTATTTAAAAGATTTTAAATATAACCAACGTAGGTTTTAGCATAGAAAGATTATTGTTAATTGTTGTTATTAATTGTCAAAGAAGAGAGGAAGAATCTTCATGTTAGGCAGTCAGTCAGTGCAGTAAACAGCCCGTTTAATTTATGAAAAAATGCTTTGAACAAAATCGAACTTCATCCCGCGACGTACATGAACTTTTATAGAACTAACAGTAAATAGCGTTCAGTAAGATTATTGAACTCGCTATATATCAGAGTTTTAGAATGCCGTTGAGTGGCATTTGACGAGTAACTATAACAAATACATACATAAGTACATACAAACACACAAGGAACGCAACAAGTGCCACAAACGCGATTCGCGCTGTGTCATTGATCTCTTGTCAACAAACAATCGCGCAAAGTTACAACAATAACCGCGAAAAAATAAACATAAAGATACAAGTAGAAAGATAATAATGAAATCGCTACAAAGTAGAGCTACAAAAGAATTCAACGAAACAAGTGTGGAAAACCAGCCAACAACAGTTCTTTGAGTTCGCGGTGATGGATTGCTTGAAAACTGTATAACTGTCCTGAGTTGCGGGCGCGCGAAACCAACAATTTGCACAAAATCTATTTTCAAGCAGCGCGCAGCAGTGAGAAGATATGCCAACGTACGCGAAACATATCCAACGCAACACGCATTGACTGGCGGCGCGCTGCGTTGCTTGTGTCGCTTATCGCGATGACAACTTGACGCGTCTATTTGACTTGCAATTAGAATTGTCGCAACAAGGTTGACAACTGCAACAAAGAGATCAAGCAAAAAAGAAACTCAGACAAGAAAGAGGAAGTATGAGTGCAGTAGAAACTGTTGCGGTGATGGGGGACGTGGCACGTACATAACAAGCATCATTAGTCGGCACTAAACACGTTGGGCGCTGATCGGCTGCACCGCGTTGACAACTCGAACTCCGATTAACATTAATGCAACCGTGTGTTGGTCATATCGAACAAGTGTATCTGCGCCAAAAGATACGCTACGCTTGTACAAGAAAAGTGTTTGCAAAAAAAAAGTTAAAAATTTTTAAGATAAAAAAAATCCTCCTGGCTGGTGCTTATGTGCCCCGCCGTGGAGTCAGAGGACGGAATCGTTCCAGCTGTCTTTTCATGACGCGCGCGCATACAGCTGGAGAAAAATGCTCACGCGCATGCCATAACAAAGCGATAAAAGTGTGAATAAGGTTAGATGTGGAGAAAATTAGTTGTTAAATTTGTGTTTGAGTTCTAGTACCTAGAATTAGCAGTGGAAAAAGAAAAAGAAACAGATGGCGAAGTGTGAAGTGCACCGCGCACCAAAGATCACCAGCAACTGATGCGGAAGCCGTTACACGTTAGGATTAGCGGCAGTTAAATGCAGTTATCAACAAACAGCTACGGACGAAGAAGATCGTAGATGAAAATTTGTTTTTCTCCTTTTAATAACTCTGTTGGTGCGTGCGAATTTTCGCAATTACCGAGGGTATGAAAAGTCGTTTCACGGCGCATTTTTATAGTAACTTTTCATTTATTTAATATATAGTAATGCTATTACGTAATAGCTACGGCTTGAATTAATTGCTCATAAAAGATTTCGTAATCTCGTGCGCGAACCTTTTTATAGCTTTTTAAAATATGAATAATTTTTGTTTGAAATTAACTTGGATTACTAGGTACTCATTAGTTTTTTTGCTAAAATTGTTCAGCTTCTGGATTAGTGAATAAGTCATTAACAAAAAAAAAAAATATTTTGTACATCCAGCTAACATCACTACCATTCAAGAGACCCAAGGAACGGATCAAAGACCGAAACACAGCCCACAGACAAGATACGCAAAAGTGTTTATAGGGTAGGTAAAGTCCTCTCTCCAGGAATGAAAAACAAGCTCTAGTGATCGCTCATCACATACGATGAGTTGGCACTTGGACAAAAGTACTTCAGTTTTAAAAGTTTTCCATACATTCCCCGACAGAAGGAGACTAAAACTGAAACCTATAATTCGCTTGAAAGATCAGGTGGCAAAGGACGTAGCTTCACTTGACGTTTTCAGATGGCATCGAATAGCTAAAAGAAGATAAGATTAATGTGCCAGTGTTAACACGGCAATAACCGCTTAAGTGTTCCAATGCCCATTAAGAAGTATTGGCGATGATCAAACCCCTCACTGTGGTGGCATTTTTTTGCATAGCTCCTCTTCTGCCAATTGCGCTGTTAGCTTTCATTTCAAAAATTATTAAAGCCCCGCAGACTTTACTTAGTCATCTTCTTCACTAACTGTACGCCTCTTGAGTTTTCTTGCTCCAATCCGCTTGGCTTGCAGCATAAATTCATGGGCACTTGGAGGTCAAAAAGGGTGCGACAATGTAAGTGCAACAGCGCAATGACAATATTTACAGAGATCTTAATTAACAAACAAAGATGTTAGACGGAGAGCAAAATTGTTGATTATAAGTGGGCAAAAAAAGCTAGTTAAAAAGAACAACGAAAGCTCATACATGAATCTCGTTCGAAATCTAAATCTCTACAGCTAAAAACATGCGTTGTCGTCGCGCTGTACCACTTGAGTTAGATTGTTTTTCTTTTCAAGGTCTATTTTGTTTTTTTTTTTTCTTATCATTTGTAATTTTCGATTATTACACTAACGGCGCTCTGTGTCATCTCTAAATGACCAAACGGC